TCTCCGTGTCTCGTCGTCATCTGTCTCCGTCGAGCTTCCGTAGATCTCCGTCAAAGAAGATCTATCGGTTGGAGAGAAGAGATCTCTGTTGATTCAGACGACGATGATGAAGATAAGTTTTTTACTGATTTCCTTTTCTTTTGTGTAGATCTAGGTTTAGGGTTTGGGTAGATGAAACTCATGGTTTGTGATTAGGATTTCTGGAAATTCAATTGAGAAGGTGAAATTGGATTAGGCTTTTGTTTTTATTGTGAAAACATTTTCGAAAATCGATTAGGCTTTGGTTATTGATAATTACGGTTTGAAATTGAAAAAATCTTTGTTTGATTTTTGTATTTCTGGAAATTGAATTTCCTGGTGATGGATTGAAATGGTGTTTATGATAATTACGGATTGCAATTGAGTATAACTGTATTTCGTTATGATTATGAACTGTAATTTGTTATGATTATAAAAGGATTTCTAAAATTTTGTTTCGGATTTGATTTAAATACTTTGTATTTGATGTAATATTTGTAACTGATTCTATTGTCTTCATTGTTTTGCTGCTGTGTGTGAGTATGAGGATGGTGAGGGTGGTCAAATTCCGAAATGATGAGAAGCTGCATAGGTGAAAAGGTAAACTCCAAAACTTCTTTCAATTTTAATTTATGTGTGTGTAAAACTGAACACTTTTATTTAATAAAGATCACGAAACTGAATTGAATTGAATAGAGATTAGGAAGTGCATACTTGAATTGAATTGATTACAGTTTATTGAAATTGAACACTTGAATTTAATAGAGATTAGGTAGATATGGTTGAGAATGCAGTTGTCTTTAAATAAAAAAATGAATACAGATGAAGTAGATAGTAAATTGAATGTCATCTCTATAACTTGTTGTTTTGTTTAATGTTCAATGCAAACTGTGAGAATAGTTTTTGTTTAATGTTTTTTGTATTGTTGGTGATGAGACAAACTGAACTTAAACTAGTGAAACTAAATGCATACTTAACTTAAACATAAAGTGAAATTAAATGGTGATGAGACATTAGCCATCTAGACTGAAGTTATGTTGATGGCTAGTGTCTTAGTGACTTCAATTACTAAACCAAACACATAAACTGAACTATAACACCCATATTCAATAGAAATTAGGTTGATCTTTATAGATTATTTGCCTTTATAATGACTCTATGAGAACTAAACAAACCACTTAAACTGAACTAAAACACAAAATGGCTTCCAACTTTAACTTTTCCTCCTCTCAATCCTTTACCGATCTGTTGTTTAGCTAAGAAGAAAACCCAACCCCTCTCAGTCCTTCACAGCCTCCTTGGTCTGAATCCCAAACACCCACAACCTTAGCTAGGGAACCTAGAGTTAGATGGAGTGTTCCTGAAGAGAAGGCACTTGCAAGTGCCTGGCTCAACACATCCAAAGACTCAGTTGTGGGGAATGAGCAGAGATCAACAACCTTTTGGGATAGGGTTGCAGCATATTATGTTGCATGTCCTGCTGTCTCTAAGCTCACCATCCGAAGGGCAAACACTTGTAAGCAGAAATGGCAAAAAATGAATGAGCTTATCATGAAATTTGCTGGCTGCTACGAGTATGCCTCTCGGACTCCTCGCAGTGGAGAGATTGAAGATGACATTCTAGTGCTGGCTTACAAGTTTTACCACCAAGATCAAAAAACCAAATTCAGTCTTGAGCATGTATGGAGAATCCTCAAGACTGATCAGAAATGGTGCAATCCTCAAGATTTTGATGTCAAAGAGAGACTCTCTAAGAAGAAGCTCCTTGACAGCTTTCTTGGAAGGTCTGATAGTTTGAGTGACATGGAAATTGAACTTAAGAACATTCTTATCAAAGAGTATCTGTTTGGAAGCAATGAGTTTGTGTCTGAGAATCAGTTTCTAGTCTCTAGGTATGTATTGTTGGTTAAGTTTTTTTGTTTACTTAATTATGTAAATATGTAGTATTATTTAATCTTCTTTGCTTAATTATGTGTAGGAACTCCTCTGGAATCTAGTGGTCTCGGCAAGGAAAGGAATCTGGTTCTCATTTCCTTTAATGTAGGGTTGTATTGCTTTATTTTATTCATATATACCAAACATTTTATATGGTCACAATGTATTGGTACTTTATGGTTAGATTGTTGTTTTTTGTTTTTGTTATTTTGTATGGTCACAAGTGTTTGTATTGTACACTTTATGACTTTATTATATTATCACAATTTTTCATATATATATATATATATATATATAAGTTCTGTTTGTGTTCAATACAAAACATACTTCTCATATTTCTATAACAAAAGTCTTCTCATATTTCTCTATCTCTTCTCAATACAAATCTTTATCAGTCTTCTCTCATTACAAATTTCTTCGTCAATTACCATTACCATTACCTCGTCAATTACCATTACCATTACCAAATCTCTTTTAATTGTTTTCCTTCTCAAAATTTCTTGTACGTTTTATTGCTTTTATTTCGTTTAAGTTTTGCTTCTGAAAAAAAAAAAATGGCATCTCATTCTAATGATGATGAGACTTTTGATGATATTATGGAGGAAAGGTTTGAAAAATGTTTTGAAGATGGTTTAGATAATTATAGTATACGTGTAGCGGGAAAAAAAAGAAAAAAAGGACTGCTAATATAGAGAGAGATCGTGAAGAAGGAAATATACGATTATGGAACGATTACTTTTCGGATCCCCCCGTTTACCGAGATCGCATGTTCCGACGACAATTTAGAATGAGCAAGCCGTTGTTCGTTCGTATTGTTCAAAGTCTTTCTCAATTTCCATATTTCCAACAAAAGGGGGATGCTACTGGAAAGCAAGGTCTATCTGCCCTACAAAAATGTACAGCCGCAATTCGGCATCTGGCATATGGTCATGCAAACGATGCGATGGACGAATACCTCCGCATGGGGGCAACCACTGTGAGCCAAGCCCTAGAGCATTTTGTAGATGGCATAATAAATTTATTTCAAAATGAGTATTTGAGGAGGCCTACACTTGAGGATCTCCAACGATTACTTCATTCTGAAAAGGAACGCGGATTTCCGGGGATGGTAGGAAACATTGATTGTATGCATTGGGAGTGGAAGAACTATCCTACGGCTTGAAAAGGCTAGTATTCACACGGACATGGAAAACCCACTATCATTTTAGAGGTCGTGGTATCACAAGATCTATGGATTTGGCAAGCTTTTTTTGGGGCTCCGGGTACGTGTAATGATATAAATGTTCTTGGCCGTTCACCGGTGTTTAATGATATATTAGAAGGTCGAGCTCCACGAGTTAGTTACGAAGTCAATGTATATCAATACAAAATGGCTTATTACCTCACATATGGTATATATCCGAAGTGGGAAACTTTCATCCAATCAATTCCCCGACCACAAGGACCAAAAGCATCATTATTTGCTAGTTGTCAAGAAGCAGTGAAAAAAGATGTCGAGCGTGCTGTTGGAGTCTTGCAGGCTCGGTTTGCTATTGTTCGAAACCCAGGTCTATTTTGATATAAAGAGCGAATGGGCAAGATTATGAGAGCATGTATCATATTGCACAATATAATTGTAGAAGATGAACGAGACCAAGAGACTCAGTTCGATTTATCTAATTTCGAAGAAGGCGAAGGGAGCGGGTAGGCCTGGGCATATGGGTAACCCGTTCGGGTTCGGGTTGAATGGGTAATGAACTTATGGCCCATTCGGGTATCGTCGGGTTCGGGTCGGTTTGGGTAATGAGTATGAGAACCGAAAAAAAACCAAAAATTAATTTAGGGTACCCATTGGGTTTGGGTCTAAATGGGTAAAATTACCAATAAATCCGAAATATGACTCCAATACCCAAAGTTTTAAATCATTGTACATGCTCAAAAGATCAAATAAAGAGAATAGAACATCAAACATGACATCTAAATACTAAATCTAATGCAAAATAACAAAGATAACAAAAATAACAATCCAATCCAAAATCACATAAATCCGATTTCGCGATAGAGCTGTTGGTATTGAGTTGATCGAAATGTTCGGTGACGGTAAGGTCGCCGAGAGTGTAGCAACGAGGGTTTCCAGTTTTGATAATGTGACTCAAGAAAAGATTTTAAGCAAGGAAGCCGATATACGAGGGATTGGAGAAGGAAACTAAAACGACAAAACTTAAAAGCTAGGGCATACATATAAGACTATATCTAATTATATATATATATATATATATGAAAACACATGTGAATTGCTTCGGGTTTATGGGTACCCGAAATGGGTAACGGGTAATCCCCGACCCGAACCGATACCCACGGGTAAACCAATACTCTACCCAATGAGGTAATTTTCTAATACCCTAACCCGCCCCAACCCGGTTTTTTCGGTTTGGGTATCGGTTTGGGTATCGGGTCCGGTTTTTTTGCCCAGGCCTAGGAGCGGGACTTCTCATGTGGACTACTCTTTTTCTACAGAGACATCTACAAATGTGAACAATATAATGGCCAATCGAGCTCAAATTCGTCAAGAACAAACACATCTACAATTGAAAGAAGATTTGATTGAGCATATTTGGCAAAAATGGAGTCAAGGTAATTGACACGTGGCGACTAAATTATCTTTATCATCATGTTTTTTTAATATATTTTTAAACTTTACGTGTTTTTTGCTTAAGTATATTCTACGTTTTTATGGATTGTAATATTACCTTGTGTAATCCTATATTTCACATATTTATTTTTGATTTTGCAATTATATTTTTTTTATTAATGATATCGATACCGGTCTCACAACTGGAAACAGATATAATACTAGTATCGTAAATAATCTAAAACAATAAATAAATATTAAATTAATACTAAAAAATTGTTAATAGTACCAATTATGTGCATGCTCTAAGGTTGAGTGGGCAATTATGTCCAAAAACTTAAAATTTATTGTTTTTGACTAATTATTTTAATTAAAATAAACAAATAAATAGATTAATTTTATTACAGATGCTAAATAGAATCGATTTTGAGGTTTAAATCCACTCTTGAGTGAGAAATGTCCGGCGGCGCGGCGGTTACGGCGATGGAGACGGAGGAGAGGAATCAGAAATCCGGTAAGAGTAATTCGAAGGACATTGATGCAACAGAGATGAAGTTCAAGATTCTGGCGGCGTTGCGATCCCGCGTAACCTACCTCAGAGACAAAGCAGAGTATAAATCTTTGTCTCTCAGTCTCTTCCTCTAAACCCTAATGTCGTGAATTCTGTCTGTGAGATTGAGTAACGTTCGATTGTTTTCAAGGCATTGGTGATATACATTTCTGATTTGGATTAGGTTTCACTTTGATTTTCGGTGTTGTATAGTGGAATGTGTCTGCGAAGTACCTTAGAATGATTTGCAGTTTTTGATTTTTGTAGCTGCTTCATGATCGTGAGTGTGCGGAGGATGTTAGAGGAAGATATGGGATTGGAGAAATTTGCTTTGGATGTGTATAAGAGCTTTGTTAAAGAGAAATTGGTTCAGGTATCTTTTTCTGTTTTCATGGTTGAAACATGATAATAATTGAACTTTCATTCTTCGTTACGTTTCCTTTTTGAGAGCACCAATGTTTCCTTTTTGTTTGATGTCAGTGTTTAGAAGAAGCTGGTGGTAATAATGATGAAAATTCTCAAGAAACTGAGAGGGAAGACGTTGTGATTCCTATCAAAGAAGTAGCAGAACTATCTGAAACGCATGGGGCAAAGAACGATGTAAGGGACGATACTGTTGAAGAGAACGCATCCAAAAAGGTAGCCAAAGATATCAAGGACAAGGGAAATAAAGAAGCCTTGCAGAGTGATATAAGGAGAGCCCTCCGGGAAAGAACTTCGTATATTAAGGCTAATTCAGAGTAAGTTAATAAATGAAGTTCTGAAGTTTCCTCTTTCATGACATGAGAAATAAACTTTTCTGTTTAGTAATGGCTTGCTATAATTTTCAGGACAATTACAATTGCTTCACTTCGTCGACTTTTAGAGGAAGATCTTAAATTAGAGAAGGAGTCTCTTGATCCGTTCAAGAAGTTCATTAACAAAGAATTAGATGAAGTGAGTACTTTCAATTGATTATGTAATCTCTTGAGTATAGTGAGATGCAAGTTTTATAATAGTTGTATTGGCTAATTAGGTACTACAAATTCCTGCTGCTCCGAAACGTTCGACTGAGTCTATTGGGAAAAATCTAAAGAAAAAGGTCAAGAGCACACCGGCTAAGAAGGTAAGCAGTGAAGAAAATGCTGATTCAGATGCGGAGGGGGATGTGGACAACGAGGGAGTAGCTGTAAAGAAGACAATGGCCCGAAAAGGAAAATTATCAAAACCAGAGATGATGGGAAAACGGAAAAGTGAGAATGGCAAACATGTATCTGGGAGAAAGAAAGCAAAACATGCAGGAACAGATTCGGAGAATGACAGTGATGCAGGAGATAGTGAAAAATCTTTGAAGGTATAACATCTAGGTTATGATTTTTATCTCGAATCCCATTAAAACCTTTTACAACTTACCCATTTGGTTTCTGCTTTTAATGTTGTTCAACAGCAGACAAAGGAGACTGCAACTGATGTGTATGGAAAGCGTGTTGAGCATCTCAAATCAGTCATCAAATCTTGTGGGATGAGGTTTCTACCAAACTTGGTATATCTTTAAGAAGTTCTGTATTTGTTCATATTCGAGGCATGTTATTGTTTTATTATTTTTTTGTGGCAGTGTTCCTCCTAACATTTACAAGAAAGCCAAACAGGCTCCTGAAGAGAAACGTGAGGCTACGTTAATAGAAGAACTTGAGCAGATACTTGCCAAAGAAGGGCTGTCTTCAGATCCTTCAGCGATAGGTAGTGTTTTGCTCAGAATTGATTTCTTTTGCTTGGAGAGAAACTTATATCTTCCATATTATTTTTAGAGTTCAGTAGTTTTTTTCTGAATGATTCTTAGTTCAACTTGCGTAGATGTTAATGCGAATAAGCATGCTGTTGTTTGTTTTCTATCTAGTAAATGTGTAAACATACTAAGAACAAACTATCTGGCTTTACTCTGACAGAGATCAAAGAAGTAAAAAAGAGGAAGGGTATATCAAAAGAGCTTGAGGGTATTGATACAAGCAACATTGTATGGAACTCAAGGAGAAAATCTTCCACAAGTTATGCGCCTCCTCCAAAACCGAAGATAACAACAGAAAGCGAGAGCGAGAGTGATGAACCGGAAGAGTCTGAGAATGAAAAGGATGCCGAAGATGAAGAGGAAGGTAATGAAAAAGCTGAGAAAGGAAGCCGAAGCAAAGAAGAAGAATCAAACAGCGGTGAGAATCTAGATCTCTCATCTAAATGACCAACCGATCAAGTTTTAAAACTGATGATCCTTGGCTTTGTTTGCAGAGGATGATGGTGGAGAAGGAAGCGACTAATTTAACGATCATCTCTGACTCAGTGTGGAATCTTTCATCCACTGTAGCTTGGGTGTGTTTGTATCTGCTAGTGACATTTTGTTCCTTTAACCATTAGTATGACTGTGAAATGGTGGAGAAGAAAGCGAATGATTTAACCATTTTGTTCCTTTAGCCTTTAAAGATTAGGATGAATATTAAGCAGGTAATATGTCAAACTTTTAAATACAGTGAGTGGGAATCCCAGACTCAAACTATAACTTGAGGAATCATATGCTGAATCACTGAATATTTTTGATACCCACTCAATGATGTGATCGGATATGATAAAGAAGAGAGTTGATTGATAGTGATAACAGATTGAATTCTGATGCAATATGCATCTCTTATCAATTGGGTTTGTCCTTTCGGATAAATCGAAAAGAAACTTGGAATCTAAACATTGTTGGCGGTGGCATCAATGTCAAACTCCTGGGTCTCTGAAAGAATGCGCCTAACTTGGTTTGCAAGATCTGTGACATGTTTATCTTTAAACCCTGATTAATATCAAAGAACACAAAACCGGGGTTGGTACTTTATAATCCGAAACCAAAGATTACTGAGTAATTGGTACAAGTTCTTTTACCGAGTTGAGCGAGAGCCTCTTCGAGGTTGAAGAGATAGTCTCTGTTTGGCCCTGAAGGTCCTTTCGCTTTAACTATCTGTCTACACAAACGCAAGAAACAAAAGATCAAATGTAATCTATAGGAAGAAGCTAAAAACAAAACCACCTACTTGGCAATATCTTCAAGAGGAGCTGGTCCTAAGTAGTTATTGTTGCTCTTCTTGTCAGGTGAAGCTATGTACCTGAAGTAAATAAAGAAGATACATATCGACATTGTTACTCGTTTATCTATATACCGACGTGATGTAATCGAATGCGATTCTTACACCATAACTCCTGTCACAGCCGGTTCCGAAGCATTAGAGTCCTGCAACAAGTAAAGCATCATCACACACACCCGAAAAAAAGAAAATAGACACAATCTTTGATGTTAGAAGAAGCAGAGAACAAAATAGACTCACAGTGAAGAAATCAACATACTCTTTCTGATCATATTGCTTCTCCCTCACTTCCAAATGCTGACAAAACAAACAGACAACATAAATGTTTTTGTCATAATTCCAATAAAGAGTATATAATTACTTATTCACTTACCATTAAAGCATCTCTTTTGTCTTCCTCTTTGGTTATCTTATAAGCAACTCCACACTGTGTATTTTCCATTAGCAAGTAACATAAACAAATTAAACCAAGAACTTGAATAGAGTTAACAATTGTATCATAAAGAGGACTTACACAAACTTCTCCATGAGCAGCTTCTAATGTCACTGTTCTTCCCGGAAAATCCGGAGTTCCTCTATGATCAGTACTACCTAAATTCCGTATCTAACATTACTATAAGATGATAATCAAGATTGTCTAATAAAGAAGATGGAGAAAGAGAGAGAGAGAGACCTTGATGGAAGACACGGCGATAGCCTTTGATGAAACCAGGGAGGCTTTCGTCAAAAGGAAAACCCGTTTTCCATATTAAAGATCCGTATCCGAATACCCACATCGCCATTTTTACCGGTGAGGTAGAGAAAGTGAGATCCGATTGGATCGGAGAAGAAGAATGAAGAAAGACAAGTGATCAATTTACCACGTGTTTCACATGTAATTTACTTTAACAAGTTTTAAAAAATAAATCCCTCTATTTTGTATAATATTCAAATTTCGACCCTAAACTCTTGATTTTATAGATTTAACCATATAAATGGTGAGAGAAAAGAGAGAATATACCTATGGATTTGTCCCTTTTTATTGTTTCTTTGAAGGTGTAATTTTAGGGGACAAGTGACCCAATTAGTAGTATATGTTTCTTATTTTAACAAGTTACAAAACAAAAACTAATCTCTTTATTATGTATAACATCCAAATTTCGATTATAGTTTCTTGGAGTTATAAAAGTTACCCTTTTTAGTTTAGTAGGCTCAAGTTTTACCAAATGATTCATTCATCATTCGTTTTGGAAATTTCAAATTACAAGAAAGTAGAAGCTGAAAAACATAGATAATGTAAAAAGATACTAAAGTTAAGCGTAGAGCGATTAGAAAATGTAAAAAAAAAAAAACCAAAAACACAAAATCAACAAGAAAGATAACCAAAATTTCCACCTCCAATGCATGGAGATGAAATCTTTGTTTAAGTATCTTTCTTCTCTTTTGGGACTTGAATCAGGTACTTGTAACCACACCATTAGTCGGTGCTCCCGAGACATCATGACCGTTCGTTTGTTTGACTACGTTAGTGATCGGAAGCTCTTGGTTCTTGGCTACGATTTTCTCATCTAAAGGATTCACTTCGTCCTTACTTTTTCCCCATACCACACTGTATAGTCCAAGTACTATGAAAACTGCCCCAATTATACTGCATAACATTACAATAATACCATTCAAAACGTTAGTAATGTATCACTTAATTAATCTTGAATTATAAAGATTTGATTAATGTGACTTTTATTACCTTCCGAGATGGATTTTCTCAGCCAAAACCAATGCACCGAGGAAGGCAGTGATGATCATACACATAGGACTAAACGACGTCGTAAACACAGGGCCACGCTGCTTAATCACAATGCTTTGTATGTAATAAGCTATCCCCGAACAAACCACTCCCTAAAAATATACAACATAACAAGTTTTAATTGACAAGTTAATTAGTGTTAGTGTTTATTAACTTGATTAGTAGATGATTAACTTACAGAGTAAACCGCGGCGAGTGTTCCGGAATCCATACCGATTGTCCATGCACTCGGGTCACGAACCATTATTAGCGAAGCAATGGCGTTTAGGATCGTCCCTATCCCACATATCAACGTTACAAGTGATAGCTCAGCTGGATAGACTTTTAATGTGTATGACTGCAAGAAAAAAATGATGTTTTACTTATTTATCAATATATTTTTTCTCAAAATGCTAAATTTAAGATTGATTTTTATTTTTAAAATATTTTACTTGTAAAATGAAGAAAGCAGCCCATGTAGAGATACTGCCCATAATGGCTATGGTTCCAAGGACCCAGTGTTGGCCGGTGGGCGTGCTGCTCGAACCGCCGTGGAAAGAATTATGAGCGGCTTTCACGATCTCGATAGCCGGACCTTTGTACAACGTCATTATCATTGCTCCTCCTACTGTTATTACCGTTCCTACCACTTTTGCAACACTGTGGACCTTTCTAAAGTTGACGGTCTCAAGCCTGATTAATATTGCAATTGGTGTTACTTAAATGGTTAGTTCATTAATAGTAAGACGCTAAATGTTTTGGCCAATTAATCATCTTAGACATATGTTTAAATAATGAAAACTCGGAGATTAAGTGGCAATTCAAGGCTAGAATATCATCAATCATCTAAATGATCTATAGCAAAAATTATGAAACAATTATGATTGAATATAGGCAAATAATAAAGTAATTAAGAGAGAGTTTTGTTGAGTGAATGAAAGTACCTGAAAATGAGGGCAAGAATGAAGGTGACGGCGGGAAGTGCATTGGTAAAGGCAGAAGTGTACGATGCTGACGTGTTTTTCAAACCTATGTAGTACAAATTCTGGTCCATAAGGGGCCTAAAATCATTCACAAATAAATACAAATTATCATTATTATTATCTTTTACTATTACATAGCCTTTTCACATCATCTTTTGTTTGTGCATAATAAGTAGATGCTTTTTCCAAAGATCAAAAAGGAAAACGTGTACGTAGGATAACTAGTAAACACACACATTCACATTAAAGATGTTTGTTGTGGTTGTGGGTGATGATCTCATTACCAATAATCAAGAAATATATTATAATATATACCAATTTCATGCCTTTTTCTACATTATCACGGTAAAGTTTCGAATCATTGTAAATATTTTATGTGATAATAGATATTCTAAAAAAGATTATAATTTACTTATTAATCAACTTTTCAAATTATAGATCCTATCTCGTACGTATGTCCAACTCTAGACGAATCTTTTGGTATATGCAAAAAAAATTGTAATATATACTTGATATTAATAGTAGAATCATTCAAACATTAAACAATCTATGACTATAAATTTAATTAATTACGTTGTTACTAGCTAAACTAAAAATCATATTTAATAAGAGTCTAGTTTTTTTTTTGGGTACGATATGTGAGTATTTCATTTCCCTAAGTAACGTACCCGAATTAGCATGATAAAGTAACGTACCCGAACAAATGAATTTGCATCACAACTATAAAAAAAGTAACTTTTGATTTTGCACCGTACGTTTTTATTATTAACTAGTTATAAGATTTATTTTCTAGATACAAAGCCTTACTATATCCAAACTTTTGTATGATAAATACAAGAACCTTAAAGTTGTATGAAACCGAACTTTCTAATTGCAAAGCAAAAAAAGATGGTTTTCTAATGAAAGAGACTTACTCTAATATTCCAAGAGCAAGAAGCCTCCAGAATATTGGTAGTGTGATCTTGGGCCTAATTTTCCTGCAAACTCACAATTATTAAAATAAGTATACATACATATATACAATATACATACATATGTGATGTGGATATATGTGTGTGTATAGTGGTACCTCTCGAAAATGAGAGCAAATGGAGCCATGACAACCGTGGCGACGACATGACGGTATGTGGCAAGAACCCAATGGTCCATGCCATGCTTGAACGAGACCATAGTGATGATGTACATGCCTGCATACCCAAATTGCAGTGAAATTATCGCCAATATCGGCTTCAATTTCTCCATGCTTCCACCTTTCATCTTTATTACTTAAACGAGAATTTATCTCTGGTTATATAACACTACTATATCAATATGTTTATATGTGTATATATAGAACTCTCCCACCCCCTCTTCTCTTTATATTGATGAGAGTTGTTTGGTGAGTGATGAGATAAGCTCTATTTGTTTGAGGCAGGCAAAACCTAATGGGAAATGACTTGTATTTATAGTCGAGCAAAAAGTTAGATTAAAAAAGATACACTCATTATTTTGTTCACTCAATAATACGTCTACGTATCTTTTGGAATATTTTAATGAACTAGTGTTTACACTTTAGAGATATGAATAAGTTAACAGAAAAATATGTCTTACATAATTATTTACTTTTACATATGCATGTCAGCATATCGTTTATATAAGAATTCATTTTGGAATTTGTTTTTAGCTTTTTTCTTTTCTCTTTAGACGATTTCAAAGTAGAGAGAAATATAATCAAAATTGCAAATATTGTATACATACATGTTGTGATTCTTTTACTTCAATGCGTAACACGTGTTCGCATTATATTAAAGTTGATATATCACATAGTTTTGTATGATATCAAGTAGTAGGTGGTAAGGTGATTGTGTGTGCATACACATTTGTAACTTTTACAATATAGTACACGAATATATTTGTAATTCTCTCGAAATTTATATCTATTCATTTCTTTTCTTTTTCAGAAACAAACCACTTCTCATTTTCTTCAGCTCTTTACGGAGTCAGGATGTTTCTTAACACATGAATGTAACTTAAATCATATCAAATAAAAACAATAATGCTATAAGAAAAAGTTTGAAGAATAGTAACTCTTAATCAAAACATATTTTTTTTGAATAATGGTTGCATATTTTGCAATGTTTGATCAAACAATGGATTTATTTAATATATTGTTGTCGGGATTTATGAAAAGTTACAAGTGTTTAGGTTGCAAAACTCACCTATATTCTTTATAATGATAGATACAATAATTTGTAACCAAAAATAAGTTGCATAATTAAGTGTTGTTCTAAAGCAACCAGAAGTTGTATATATACTACGGTTAGTCATCTTAATTAATCTTATTAATATGCCTAATAATTATAAAATTTTAAACGTCCAACTTGGATAAGTAAATGTTGATTCTTTGAGATCTAGTGCTTTATTGAGAATGTCCACAAATTGTTCTTTAGTTAATAAGACATGTCATGCTTCGAATATTGCACCATTACGAATTTCATCATAATCAAAGTGACAACTTGATTTCGATATTTTGCCTACGTCATCATTTGGTAGAAACCAGACTTAAGAAGAAATATTTTGAGCCATTCGACCTCATTTGTGATGTGATAGGGGCCAAAATTAGTATATGACTTTGGCGGAAGATCAGAAACAATGTTCTGTGGTTACAGAGCTGAGTCTGAAATTTATGGGACTAGAAGCAATTACGGTTAGGAAACTTTTACTAAACCAAAACAAAATCTCATTCTCATTAATTAGAAAAAGAATACATGGTGCGGTTTATATACAGACTCTGACCTGGGCTAAACCGAAACCCTTAACCGGAATTAGAAACATAATCTAATATACTGGTTTATACTTGTACCAGTTTACAGAGACTGACTCTATTAGGACTTATACATCAATAGTCCCCCTCAAGATGGGGCGTAAATATTATGGAGACCCATCTTGCGCACTAGATGATTAAACTGAGCTGGATACAATGCCTTGGTGAGAGGATCTGCAATTTGTTCTTCAGTCGGGACATGTATCAGCTGAAAGAGACCTGCAAGCAATCTTTCACGAACACTGTGGCAATCTTTTTCCATGTGCTTTGTACGCTCATGGAAGACTGGATTATTAGCAATGTGAATTGCTGCAGTATTATCACAGTAAAAGAGAGTTGGTTTTACCAGATGAACCTGTAATTCTTTGAGATAATTGGTGAGCCAAACAAGTTCATCAGAGGCAAAAGACAAGCTCCTGTATTCTGCTTCAGCAGATGACTTTGCACATATCTGTTGCTTCTTGGACTTCCAAGAAATGAGAGAAGAGCCTAAGAAGAAACAGTTGCCAGATGTAGATCTCCTGGAGTCTAAGCAAGAGCCATAATCAGCATCCGCATAGCCTATAAGTTGCATTTCTGAGGTGACCGGATATAATAAACCTTTACCAACTGTGCCTTTGATGTAGGCTAAGACTTTATGCAGAGCTTGCTGATGAACTTTGCGAGGTGCTTCAGAAAACTGACTGAGCTTATTCACAGCAAAAGTAATATCGGGTCTGGTAATTTGCAAGTACATTAATCTGCCTATGAGACGTCTATAAGCCTTGGCATCTACTAATTCACCAGTACAATCCTTTTCTAGTTTTAGATGAGGATCTAGAGGAACAGATGACGGTTTGCAACCAAGAAGACCAGTCTCATCTAAGAGGTCAAGAGCATACTTACGTTGACAAATGATGATACCAGACGCAGATCTTGCTATTTCCAGGCCCAAAAAATATTTGAGAGGACCTAGATCCCGCAGCTTGAATGCAGACTGTAATTGTTGTTTCAATGTATCAACCTCAGCATCAGTATTGCTTGCAATAAGGATGTCATCCACATACACCAAGACACAGAGAAAAACAACATTAGTGATTTTGAAGAAACAAGTATGGTCACAGTAAGATTGTTCAAACCCCAAAGCAGTGAGTGTTGTAGAGAACTTGATGAACCACTGCCTGGATGCCTGTTTAAGACCATACAAAGACTTCTTTAATCTGCAAACAGCATTAGGAGGAAAAGGGTCCCCCTGTTTTGAGGAATATCCAGGTGGAAGCTTCATGTAGATTTCTTCATCTAGATCTCCATTAAGGAATGCATTAGATACATCCAATTGTGTTAATGAGAAGCCCTGAATAGATGAAATAGCAAGAACGAGTTTGACTGAAGTAAGCTTAGCCACTAGAGAGAAAGTTTCATGAAAATCAACACCTTCCTCTTGAGTATAACCTTTAGCCACCAAACGTGCTTTATATCTCTCAACACTACCATCTGCATTAAACTTGATTTTGTAAATCCATTTACAACCTATGGCCTTTTTATTAGGTGGAAGAGTGCAGATTTCCCAAGTGTCTGTAACCTCAAGTGCATCAATCTCAGTCCCCATAGCACCACACCAAACCTGATGCTTCTTTGCCTCAGTGTAAGTTTTAGGTTCAAGGTGTTTATCAATGGCGACTAAAAAAGAGTAATACAGAGGATTGATATTACTGTAAGAGAGATATTTAGCTATTTCATGGATAGTGGTTGAGGACCCTACTGAATGACAGTAGTAATCCTGAAGGTAAGCAGGTGTTTTTGTCCTCCTGTGAGATGTTTGAACAGAAGGTTCAGTGACATTTATAGTAGGATCAGCAGAAGGCTGATTCTCTACAGAAGGGGAAGATAGAGAAGTATCTTCACCAGATGAAATATGAATCACAGGAGGGTGTTCAATCAGATCAGGAAAAAATTCAGAAGCTTCCTGAGATAAATCTGATTTAACAAAGGGAAAGAGCTCTTCGTGGAAAACCACATGTCTTGAGATAGTAATTGAATTTGTCTCAAGATCTAGAAGCTTGTAGCCTTTGTACCCAGCTGGATAGCCAAGGAAGACACAAGCTTTAGCTCGGGGATCAAACTTATGTCTGTTCTTTGGAGAGGTAGAAGCATAACAAAGACAACCAAAAACTTTTAAAAGATTATAGTCAGGTTGTTTCTTTGTGAGAACCTCAAAAGGAGTTTTATCACCTAGAATAGGAGCAGGTTGGCGATTTATAAGATGAACTGAGGTAAGGATACAATCACCCCAGTAAGGAAGAGGAATGTGAGATTGAAAGAAGAGAGATCTTGCAACATTTAAAATATGTTGATGTTTTCTCTCCACAACAGAATTTTGTTGTGGAGTTTCTGGACAAGAGTGAAAGGATTGAATTCCTTTAGATTGAAAAAGTTCCTTAAAAGCTAACTCTGGAGCATTATCAGATCTAACCCCCTTAAGTTTTGTTTCATATTGAGTTTCTATCATAGCAATAAAGGTAGGAAAGACTTGAAGAACATCAGATTTAGTTTTTAATAGGTAAACCCAAGTATTCTGGAGCAATCATCTACAATGGTTAAGAAATATTTGAAACCATCATGAGTAGGAATAGAAAATGGACCCCAGGTGTCAATGTGAACAAGATCAAAGGGTTTTAAACTGATGTTATTATGAGAAACAAAAGGAATATGTTTTTGTTTTGATAGATGACATACTTTACAATGAGAATCTGTATTATTCTTTGGTTTAGGAAAATCTAAGACATTTTGCATAGGAAGAATCTTAGACATAGAGGGGTGTCCTAACCTTTTATGCCACAAATCAGGGCTAGAAACAGCATTTGCTTGAACAGAGATAGTATTTAGAGGAATACCTGGAAGAGAAAGAGTTTCTATATCCAGAAAGTAGAGATTGGCCATTTCCCTACCCTTACCAATCATTAATCCCCGTGTATGATCCTGAATTTCACAAGAAAGATCATCAAAGAGAACCTTATAACCCAGATGTTTGGCTAAGGAACTAACACTAAGGAGATTAAACTTGAATTGGGGAATGTAGAGAACATGACTAAGGGTTAGATTACTACCCAGAGGAACTGTTCCTAAACCGACAATGCTCACAAGGCCGCCATTAGGTAAGGAAACAGTGGTGTTTGAAAGAGAATTGAATGAAGAATAAGAATTTCTATCATGACAGATGTTATGAGAAGCTCCTGAGTCTATGACCCATGCGTTAATAGCAAGGACATTACTATTAACAGAACAGACATATGGCCTATCAATTCCGGAAAAAGAACAATGGATAGAGGGATAAAAATTACCGGAAATTGGGCACACTGTAGAAGAAGAAGGGCCAGAAACTGAGACAGAGTGAACTTCAGGAGTGATAGTGGTGCTAGAAGACTGAAGTTTGGTGCTGAGGAAAGACATAAGCTGCTGTATCTGTGATGGAGTAAGATCATCTGAAGATTGGAGTTGCTCAGGTGCTTCAGTAATGGCTGCA